GGTTCCAGCGGTACGGGATTATCCTCCTTCGCCTAAAACTGCTGCGAGCGTCGAGTCTGGCTGCTGCTTCTATTTCCTTGTGGCCTCCCCCTGCTACGTCCTTGAGGGTTATACATTGATCATCCAGCTCCCTGTTCTGATCCCTCAGTACGTTTACCTGAGCTTCCAGGATTGCAGCGTGTCTTCTGAGGTCCTCTACGGACTCATCCTCTGCTGTTGAAGAGGAGGTATCGTGGAGAGGTTCCCCTGTGGACCCTTGTTTATTATCTTTCTTGTTTCTCTTCGCTCTCCGTTCTGCTTGGGGTTGAGCGTAAGATTTGGGCCAGGTGAACTTTTGTTCGTAACTTTTTGAATCCACTGTGATTCTGTTCTTCTCAATTCTTGTCTTCATGCTGTATTGCTCGGCATAAAATTCATTGAGCTATCTTTCCTTCCTGAGGATCTCGAATCTGTTTTCCATGTTTATGCTGTCTTCCGCTTTGGTTGCTGACCTGAGATTGCGAAGGTGCTTGTGGTGCGCGAGCCTCACCTCTAGTTCTACTGTTCTGTCCAATTCTAAGGAGCGGACATACTGTTGTACGTAATCGAGCGAGTCCATGTCCTGCCCCTGTTCATCCTCTTCATCCCCCATGTCCTCGTCCCCTTCTTCTGGGCTCTTTCATAGAATCATCGTCAGCGTCTCCATCTGCATCCTCTTCTTCCGTATCCTACTTCTCACTGCTCTCCGATCTGGTCCTCTTTCTGTCCCGACTTGCTTCTGAGATCTGATTCCCGCTGGAACCAGCTGATTGAGGAGAAGGATGTGATCCTTCCATATCTACATCCTTCCCTGACCCTTGGGAGGTATCCTCTTCCATCCCTGTTCCGCATTGCCTGCTATCCCCCGTTTCCTTGTCTGTTGACAGCGCGTTGGCCAGCCCGACTAATCTTTGTCTCCCCTTGATTGAGGGTGCAGGGGACGAAGCGCTTACAGCTTCCCCTGATTTCCGTTTCAGGGACCTGTCCAGTTGCACGCTGTTCGCGTCCTCTCCACTAGAGGAGGCGGACTTCGGTGTTGAGCAGGCTGAGTGTTGTTTTTTTTCTGGAGCAGATCTGGCTCGCTGGTTCTCAATGCATGCCCTTTCTGCGTTCTGTCCAATTGAGTGCAGCTCATTCATCGTTTCCAGTCTTTGTTTCTCGTCAAATAGGCTCGCTTCTCCAATTACTTCCTGTTTTAGGTAGCCTGTGGTTTTGTCCTCCATTCTCTTAGCGCTTACTGCCCTCCATCTACTGTCGTACGGCGGGTAAATGTCAGGTTTGAGCTTGGGCTCCCCCTGGAGCACCCACACCCATTTGGGATTCTCCAGGTTGCCGTCAAAGACCCAGCCTCTGTACTGTGCCTCATTGATATACCACACCCCCAGCTTTGCATCACATTCTACCAACATTGATTGCTTGAGTGTGATTTTTCTTCCTGTTTCCCCAGCGAGGGGGCAGTGCATACCCAGATGACCGCTGTTTCTGCATTTGAAACAGAAGGGATTTGTTTTCGAAGAAATGAACACGTTTAGTTTTTGTCCATTTTTCCAGAAGATCCAAACATCTGGAAATTTGGGGGATGTGCCTGACGAGACTTCCAAGCGAGCCACTCTTTCATTATGATTCGGGCCCATGAACTCCGGGTTTGCTGGCAGCCAATCGATGATTGGGTTGTTGGGGTACTCTTCCTGGAGTCTTTTCTGCACGAAGCTGTGTAGGCCCTCGGACAAGTTGTCAAATTGCACCCAGAAATGGTTTCTGAGCATCGTTTGACGATGCCTAGATGCTTCCGCTTGGGGTTCCCTGGGCGGTTTCCACGACTGGATCGTGACCACCAATCCTTTGCATTTCAGCGCTCCCAGGGAAACTAAAAATTGGGCGTACGCTGGGTCGACACACAGAACCATTACCGTGTACCTCCCTCTCTTGTGATATGAGACCTCCGGTTCCGATCCGGGAATGCTTTCCAATTCTTTTGGGCGGTCCATGACCCACTTCCTCTTCTCATTCAGCGGTAGATCCCTGTTTTTGTTCGTGAAGTTGAAGAGTACTGCATGCTTCTCATACAGTTCGTGGAGGGACTGCAGTTGTTCTTTTGGGTACTCCCAAATTTCGACTTCTACCTCCTCGCCTGCGTTCTTTTTGATGATTTCTTTTGTTTTGATAATTTCAGCTTTGATTTCTGTCTTGTTCATCAAAAACTCGATAGCCCTCTGCCCCAGGGCTCTCGGTGCAGCATTGGGAATTTGAATTCCTTCGGATGGGGTTTGAGCAGGGGAGGTTGAGCTCTGGGAGATCGTGGGAGACAGTCTTGGTGGCGGGTCCGGTGATGGTTTGTCCTTCTTTTCCATTCCTCTGCGTGCTGCGTTACAGTAGGAGTCGGCCATTGTTAACCGGTTTTATTTGGCTGTGGATGTGTTAGTGCTTGGGCGGGGATTATCTTCCCCCCTTGGTGATTTGTTGCCCGCTGCTTTCCTCTCGGGAATGAAGAAGGGATTCCAAAGGCTAATGCTGTTGCTGTGTGGACGGGAGAGAATTAAGTAGCTTTGTAAAATAGTGGGAATGGCCTTGCGGGGTTGGGTGGTGTGAGAAGGGTGACAGCGTGGTTGGGACAGGGTACTGAGGGCTATGGGGTGGACAGGATAGCTCCCGGGGGGGGTAGAGATTAGTTCCGAGGTGCCCTGCCACTGGTAGGTTAGGGCGCCTGGTGGGTCGATGTGTTCTATGGGGGGGATTATGTTCACCTGGAGGTTCAACAGGTTAGTTGGGGCAAGATCAGAGTGTTAGGAGATAAATAATAATAGTAAGGATAAATATTCCAGGAAATAAATAATTCTTACCTCTTACGCTTTAACGTATTAATGGAATGATTAGCAACTTATTGAATAATGCTTAGAACCACAGATACTTAAATAAGAGTAATTGGTCGCCCTATACTTTGGCGATCCTGTCGGTGTTCTCGAGCAACGCTGGCTAGTGATGGGATGGCGAATGGAAAAAGGGGGGGTGAGGGATGGCAGGTATGCGGTACGTAAGTGCGGGCAGGGCTCGTGGGATGGTGGTGCAGACAAAGTGGGACTTTGACTGTCCGAGTGACTAGGGGGTTGGGGTAGGTTGGTGGGGATGTGTAGGGATAGGTGATAGACGGCGGGCGGATCCGCTTGTTTCCTCTATCTTGGGCAAGAGTTTCCAGACGCTAGGGTTCGCTACTTTCGTCCGCTTGAATACGAGCGGGGGCGGGCAATGGGGTTTCAGTCAGGTGGATCGGATTTTCTATTGTAACTATGTTGTGGTTGCTGGCGGAAAGCAACTCCTAGCTTCCTTTCAAGTGCCTATGCTGCTGCTCCGTTCTGATCCAACCGTGATTCAGGAAGGGGTTACTACCACTATTTGCGAGCGCTTGTGTCCTTTCTACTTTTCCTAATTAAGGGCTATCCAGAAGTAGTAATGCAGTTGCCTTTATTCCCTTGCTCCGATGTTTCGAAAGACTGTCGTTCCCCTCCTCATGAGTGCTTGCCCAAACGCTGTCTTGACGTACTCCTCCTGTTGACTCTTCTGCTGGTGGGGGTTGATGAAATATTTCGCTCTTACCTTTGGAGACCAGGGTTGGTCTGCTCGAACCTTGCTGCCCGAGATACTGGGGGAACGTCCTGTGCGGTGCTGTCCTCGTCCGCTCGTGATGATTCTTTGCGCTTCCCGTTGCTGCTTGCCTTTCTCCTATAATAGGTAGGATTTGCCCTCGTCTCTTTCCTTTGTCCTTTCCTCTTTCTGGGGCGCGGTATGTTTTCTGCTATTTGAACTCTTCTTCCGTCCTTCAGCCCCCTGCTTTCATCCTCCTCTTCTCCCTCCCCCTGTTCTTCTTTGTGGACGCTTTTGTCTCTTTCTTGTGTGACTATTCTCTCCTTTCCTTGTCGTTCTCCTCCCTCTTCTCTGTCCTTTCTCACTCTCCTTTCTTCCTTCTTCTACTCCCCTGACGTTCGGGAAAAATGCTTGGGTTACTTCCCATTCCCTCCCGCCGCTGTTGTCCTTTCTTCCTCCTTCTACTCCCCTGACGTTCGGGAAAAATGCTTGGGTTACTTCCCATTCCCTCCCGCCGCTGTTGTCCTTTCCCAGACTTAGCTGCACCCCACTTTCCTGTTGTCCTCGTATCCTCTACGCTCCCTCCTTTCTCCCGGTTCCTCCTCCTTCCCTTCCCGTCTCCTCCTGTCTCTTACTAGAGGGCGTGGCCAGGTGTGGTGAAGTCTCTTACAAGTTTCCCGCCTTCGTACTTCGAATTCGTAGAGTGATGATGTGTGCGCGCGGCAAAAATTCATCGTGGAGCGAATGCGAAGTTTAGCGCTGGAAAAAGCGCTTACCGGTTCGGCGCTAGCGCGTCGTCAAGACTGTTCATTCGTACAAAGGTCAGTACCAGTAGCACCTTCATTTTTTCCAGAGACCGGTACTGGTCACTTTTAGGGTCAGCAAAATGCATTTTTTGGTTTGTCAATGGAGTTTCGGATGGACTGGTGGTCTTACCACCCACGTCCTGCTCATCACACAAATTTCCATCACTTTTTAGAAGATTTCTATCCATTCGTTTGGAATTTTTGTTGCAATCATGAGCTGAAATTTTACGGAAGTGAGATGAGATTCTGTCAAAATCATCATTTTGCAATCCTGCATGCCATGCACAAGTCACCCTCACACACGCCAGGAGGAGTTAAAGACACTAAAAAGTTAGTAAAAACACCGCCATGTCAAAATTGTCATTGCGAAAAAACAGCTTCCAGCTTTGACTTTTAAGACGCATAGGGAAAATCTAGCTAACAGAGTGTATCAACACTGCCCCGCATCAGACTAAGCTACACAGTAACCCCCTGGCAGATGCCCCAAAATAGCACCTGAAAGAAAGGCTACGTCTTCGCAGGAGTGAAGTGGTGCAAGAGGACGGGAGAAAACAGAAAAAGGCTCTGTGGGGTTCACATATGTCTTGTGGCACTCACAATGGATTTCGGCTTCTTCTCCTTTATTATTTTCTGCAAGTTTCACAAGACGCCACCAAAGCCAACAAATACATATGAGCACCTGCGATCTGATTATGCCCCAACCTAGTTTCACATAACAAACCAAAACTGTGGCCCGCAAACAACAGGTTCATCACAATGTTTCAGATGCCATACTCCCACACCGACATGAGAGGGAAATTGAAAAAATCGCACCAATTCAGTGAGCCTTGGTCCTACAAACCAGAAAACAAATATGAACATCTACTTCTCACTAACAAACAAATTCTAGATGCCATGCTCCCAAACAACCTACACCAAGGCGAGCGAGCAATTGCAAAAGACAGTCAATTAAGAGCTGCGCAGTGCTATGAACACATACTCTTCAGTGCCTTACCTTTCCGAACTTTTTGAAATTGGACCTCTTCGGGAGGACTTCCAAAATTTATTCCCTGATGAATCTTTGCAATTCGTTAAGTTTTTAAGGATAGCGATCCGAAACTTCGCTTGTTACAGGTCCAACTGCAGTTCTCTCTTTTCTCCTTCCTCATAATTTTTTTCTTCCTCATTATTCTTCAAATTGTTGCTTCACTATCACGGTCCAGTCCAATTTTTCCCCCTTTTCTTCCCAAATAAAAGAAATTCGAAACTGCTCCTCACACTGAAACGAAGAAATAGGATAAGGGTCTAGTACAAATCAAGTTTGATTTTTTAATGCATATTTCCTGAAATTTCCTCTTCTTCTTTGTACTCTTACCTCCAGTCTGTCTTCACATTGATTAGCAGTCTGTTACGTACACAGATAGTCCAATTGTCAGAAATCACAAAAGACCTGAGTACGGATCCGGGCCGCCCGACCGACCGGCGCCTGCCCGGGGGAGGTCCTGGGCGGCCCGGTCGGGGGCCGGGCCCCCCCAGCACACTCACCTGTAGGGGATTTCAGACCCCGAATGGACTTGTTTGTGCGTTGCCAGGGCCTACCGGGTCCGACCACGCCCAGAAAACGGCGCGTCGAGGCCGTGAGGCCTGCTTTTTTTTTTTGAATTTTGGACGGCCCTCCGGCCGTCGATCCTATCCATGATCGACGGCCAGAGGGCCGTTTGTTTTTGGAGGGAAAAGCAATGCCCCGTTTGAACATGCGATTGCCTGCGGCGGTCTGCATCGGCTTTCGAAACGGGGCCCCTCCCCCAGCCGCCTGCCTTCGTCATTGCGTCCGTCCTTCGTCGAAGCAGCTGCGAGTTGTCGCCATCGCCTGGGACAGCCGTTGCCCGTCGCCCGTCGTCGAAGCTGCTGCCTGCCGTCGCCATCGCCTGGGACTGCCGTCGCCCGTCGTCGAAGCTGCTGCCTGCCAGCATCCACTGCCGCCCGTCAACGAGGACTGCCGGTCTCTTCTTCTTCTTCTTCTTCCCTCCTCCTCCTCCTCTTATTCTTCTGCTTCTTCTTCTCTCCTCCTCATCCTCCCCCTCTCATCTTATTCTTCTTCTTCTTCATCTCTCGTCGTCCTCGTCCCCCTCATCTTCTTCCTCTTATTGTTCTCTCCTCCTCCTCCTCTATATCTTCTTTTTGAGAAGTTTTTTTTTTTTTTTTTTACATTCGTTCCTGATAGGTCGCGATATAACCGGCAGGTAAGAAACAAAAAAAAAAAAATGCTCCGCTCGTCATCATCTTCTTCTTCTTCTTCTTCTCTCCTCCACCGCCATACCCTAACGGCATACCGCGCCGCCATTCCCCTCCACCGCCGCCGAAACCCTAGCTGCCATTCTTTTTCTTCTTCTTCTTCTTCTTCTTCTTCTCTATTCCTCCGCCTCCCCCTCATCTTCTTCTCCTTCCTCTTGTCTCCTCCTCCTCTTCCGCCCATCTTCTTATGCTTCTTCTCCTTCTTCTTCTTCTTCTTCTTCTTCTTCTTGTAGGACCGCCGCCACAGCCCGTCGCCATACCCCGCCAGCACACCATACCGCCCTGCGGCCGCCTCCATCTTCTCCATCGTATTGCAGGTCGCGTGAGGCGCGGCAGGTTTAAAAAAAAAAAAAAAAAAAACCTTCTTCTTCTTCTTCTTCTTTTCTCCTCCGCCTCCCCCTCATCTTCTTCTCCTTCCTCCTCTCTCCTCCTCTTCCGCCCATCTTCTTCTTCTTCTTCTTCTTCTTCTTCTTGTAGGAACCCCGCCACAGCCCGTCGCCATACCCCGCCAGCACACCATACCGCCCTGCCGCCGCCGCCATCTTCTCCATAGTATTGCAGGTCGCGTGAGGCGCGGAAGGTTTAAAAAAATAAATAAATAAAATCTTCATCTTCTTCTTCTTCTTCTTTTCTCCTCCGCCTCCACCTCATCTTCTTCTCCTTCCTCATCTCTCCTCCTCTTCCGCCCATCTTCTTCTTCTTCTTCTTCTTCTTCTTCTTCTCTCCTCCTCCGCCTCCCCCTCATCTGCTTCTCCTTCATCTTCTCTCCTCCTTCTCTTCCGCCCATCTTCTTCTTTTTCTTCTTCTTCTTCTTCTTCTTCTTCTTCTTCTTCTTCTTCTTCTTCTCTGCTCCTCCGCCTCCCCCTCATCTTCTCCTCCTTCCTCTTCTCTCCTCCTCTTCCGCCCATCTTCTTCTTCTTCTTCTTCTTCTTCTTCT